CTGTTCCTTCATTTTTTTTTTTATCCCTTTATTTTCAATTTTCATGAAGACAACCTACATGCACAATGCCACCAAACAGTAACTATACAGTAGTACGGCTAAATATATTTCTTAAGCAATATCATTGTACATGTTACATTTGGCTGAATACTTAACAGCTTTTTAGAATTAGAAGCAGCCTCCCCCTCCCCCACAATATTGCAATGATTGTAGAAGGTTTCTTCAAGTGCTCTACAAACAAAACTTTTATAAATAGGCAAAGAATAAACATACACAGTTTTATCCAAGTGAATGGCAACAACAGGAATCAAAATAACATATAACGCTTGATCAATCCATCTGTAAAAATTTCTTACTGGTTCCCAAATCTTAATGAAAATGGATAATTTGTCTTTTAATGTAAATCTCAGTTCTTCCAAGAACAGCATATTTCCCAATTCCCTAGCCCACATCTCAAAAGTGGGGACAGCATCAGCTTTCCACATTTGTAAAATAAGTTTTTTTTGCCAACATCATACACAATGAAATGGCCTGTGTCTGATATTTATTACAAAAAGCATTCTCTGCTCCTAAAAGTCCAGTGCAAGGCTCAGGCTCCAACTCAATAGAATTTGCTTCAGAAATAAATTTAAATATACATTTCCAAAATTGCTGAATTTTACTACATGACCATAACGAATGAAACAGTGTGCCTTCTGCCATTTTACACTTATTGCATAGTGGAGAAATTGTGGGATATATTTTATGAAGTTTTGACTTTGAATAATGAAGCCTATGTATTACCTTGAACTGAATCAAATTGTGTCTAGCATTCACAGAACATGTATGTATGTTTCTCAAGCATTCATCCCACACATTTTCATGAATGCCAAGACCAATTTCCTCCTCCCAGTCATGTTTTATTTTCTCTGTGTTGCTATCCAGATTTTCTAACAGTAATTTGTAAAAGTTAGACACACTACCATTCGAACCAGGATGTACATTCACGATTCTCTCTAAGGTGGGATTCAAATTCAAAACTTCAAAGTTTGGAATGTGCTTTCTAACAAAGTCTCTAACTTGCAAATAACGGAAGAAATGTGCAGAAACAAGACCATAGTTCTGTTTTAACTGTTCAAAAGAGCTAAATGTGCCTTCTCTATAAAGATCTAGAATTGTTACTATACCCATGTGTTTCCATTGAAAAAGAGCTTATCATGTAACCCGGAGGAAAAGCATGATTATTACAAATTGGTGTGTCCAGATATATATCTGGAATTTTCAAATATACCTTAATTTGTTTCCACACCTTAATTATATTAGAGATAACTATGTTTCCGTTGATACTTTTGGCGTCAATTTTAATGGGACTATTGAGCAGAGCCGTTAATGAAGTCTTATTACAACAAGCTTCTTCAATTGCTAACCATTCTGGCTTGTCACCTAACTCCATCAATCCAGATTTCCTCCACCATGCTAAAGAACATAAATTGGCTGCCCAATAGTAATATTTAAAATTAGGAAGCCCAAATCCACCTTGATCTTTAAGTTTGTTTAGATGTTTCTTATTAATCCTCGCAGTCTTGTTGGCCCATATGAAGCTAGTTATAATAGATTCTAGCTGTTTAAAATGATGAAGGGGGATAAAGAAAGGAATACATTGAAACACATACAAAAATCTTGGAAGTACAACCATTTTTACAGCATTTATTCTGCCTACCATGGACATGGGGAGTGTCTTCCAAAAAATTATATTCTCTTTAAGCTGATCAATTTTTCTTTTCCAATTAAATTTTAATAACATTTCGGGGTTTTTAGTGATCAACACACCCAAATATTTAAATGAGTTGTTTGCAATTTTAAATTTGGTACTAGCTAAAATTTTTTATCTAGATCGTCAGAGACTGGCATTAATTCACTTTTTTCCCAATTTATCGTGAATCCAGAAAAACTGCTAAATTTTTCAATAAGCTCAAGTAATGGTGGAATAGACATTTCAAGGGTTAGAAATGTACAATATAATATCATCTGCATACAGCGAAAAGATGTTGGGGTCTGCCTTGATCGTTATAGGTGCTATGTTAAGAATGTTGCCCTGATACTTGCTGCCAATGGTTCCATTGAAATGGCAAACAAAAAAGGAGATAGGGGGCATCCTTGTCGTGTGCCACGAGATTAACTGAAATGGATTTGAAACGTCTTGGTTAGTTATAACTGAAGCTACTGGATGCGCATAAATCATTTCAATCCATTTAACAAATTCTGAACCGAATCCAAATTTCTTTAGTGCAGCATTCATATATTTCCACTCTATCTGGTCAAAGGCTCGTTGAGCGTCTAGTGAAATTACACATGTCTTTACGTTTTCTTTATTATAAATTATGTTAAACAGTCGTCTCAAATTAAAATATATATGCCTATTGGGCATAAAACCTGTTTGGTCCTGATGAATTATTGAACAAATGTATTTTTTCAGCCTATTCGCAGAATTTTTGCTTATAATCTTAGATTCAATGGGAATAAGAGAAATCGGTCGATAGGAAGCCATCTGCTGTTTATCTCGTCCTGGTTTTGGAATTAATACTATACTCGCACGGTACATTGTTGGTGGAAATTTACATTGTGTTGTTGCATCTCTAATCAATCTTTGGATTATAGGAATAAGATTATTCCTGAATTTTTTAAAGAATTCAGCACTAAAGCCGTCAGGTCCGGCCGATTTATTATTGGGTAACTGTGATATTACTTCATTTATTTCTTCCAGTGTGATTTCTTTGTCTAAAAATTGTTTTGCTTCAGTGTTAAGAATGGGAAGGTCCAAACCAGAAAAAAAAATCTTCTATTACTTCCGAGCTTGTTTCACATTTTTGATTCATAGACTTCTCTATAGAAATCAGCAAAGCAACAATTAATTTCTTTAGGATCAACGATTATTTTCCCACTATCCGACTTTATTTTGTATATCGCACGAGTTGCCTGAGAATGCTTTAATTGGCGTGCAAGCAGTTTTTGGGGTTTATCACCTATTTCAAAACTGCCTTTGCCTAATAGACCCAAGTTGTCTTGAAATATTCTTAGAGAGAATTGAGTTATATTCGCTTCGCAGCACAATTATTTTCTTGAGTATAGTCTCACAACTGGTTGATCTGTATTCCATCTCTAAATTTGTTATTTGTTTGTCAATATTATTCAATTTGGCTCTATTCTCTCTATTTTTTGCTGTTTGATATGCTATAATATCACCTCTGATAACTGCCTTCATTGCCTCCCACAGGACCGAGTCAGATACATCTCCTTTATCGTTGTTTTCTAAAAATAGTGTAAACTTGTTAGAAATATATTCACAAAATTTGACATCATTTAATAACACATTATCAAATTTCCAGGCATAATCTCCCTTACTAAATTGTATTCTTAAATTAAGAGAAACAGGGGCATGATCTGATAATAATCTATTATGATATTGAGTTGAAACTACGCATTGCAACAGTCTGGAATCTATCAGGAAAAAGTCAATTCTTGAG